TCGAGACACCTAAGTACAATACTCAAGGCTTTGAGAGAGCACCAGTTGTATGTCAACTTGAAGAAATGTTCATTTGCACAGTTACAGGTGGAGTATCAATGATATGTGGTGACCAGAATAAGGGTAACAGTGGATCAATCCAAGATTGTGGCTATGATGAATTGCCCTTACCAATGATTTTGAAGGAGTTAAGAGGATTTTTGGGTCTCATAGGCTACTAACGGAAGTCCGTGACAGGATTTGACATGATAGCATGGCCACTGGCAGAGCATTCGAAAAAAGATAATTTCAAATGGGGGGAAAGAAACAACACAGATATTTGAATATTTGAAGAGAGCCACGACCAATGTCCTTTTATTAGTACTTCCGGATTTTAATAAACTATTTGTGGTGGAAATAGATGCATCAAAGTACGAGTTGGGAGCAGTGCTCATGCAGAACTAGCGGTGCTTTCTTGCTTCAGTCAGGTTCTTACGGCCAGAGCGAGGCCAAAATCAGTGTATGAACTGCAATTGATAGCGATTGTCTTGGTCATTCAGAAGTTGAGGCCCTATCTGTTGGGACGACATCTTCTTGTCAAGACAAGTTAAAAGAATTTAAAGTATCTTCTAGAGCAGCAGACGGTGACTAACGAGCATTAGAGATGGCTATCCAAGCTACTGGGACATGATTTCGAGATTCAGTATTAGTCAGGATTGAAGAATAAGACAACCTACACACTATCGAGAAAGGTGGAGGAGGCTCAATTGATGGTCCTATTGATACCCTTGGTCCTAGACTGAGAAGCCTTGAGAGAAGAGATTGAACAAGACAAGGAGCTGAGGAAGATAAGGGTCAAGTTACTACAAGATTCGAGCTATCATCTAGGACATACATTGAGGATGCGGCAGCTGATCCACTATTGGCGATTTGTGCTACCCAGAGCATCATAATATATTCTCAGACTATTACATGGGTTTCATGGCCAAGCAATAAAGGGACACTCAGGGTTACAAAATAGTCGTTTAGCGGCAGAGCTTTAGAGGGTACCAGAGCGTATCATAAGCTTGATATAGCTAGTTATGCAACAAATTATTTTGAATGACAGCTGTCTTTTGGCTGAGTTTAGAATTATGGGTGAGGACCATTGATGATTTCCGCTAGTGAGAACCCTAGTGAGAACCCGTAACAGGCTCAACAATTAGACTATTGACTTCCCTTCTAGGTAGCTTAATGAAATGTGGTTATAGCATGTACAGTGTTTGAGTAATGAAGAGCTAGAGTTGGTTCACGAATAATAAATTGATGAGAAGATACAAGCTTAGATGATAACTTGATCAACCTCACCTAAATGAATATAGGTGTACAAGCATGTTGGGAAAAAAAAATTTCACTCTTTTTTCATGCGAAAATAAAATTATTATGTTTAAGGTAATTTTGAGGAGGTTTTCAAAGTCTAAAATGGTTTCTAATTAGATCTAACCAAATGATATATTTAACAAAACTTACCAACTTTTAAAATATGTTTAATAATTTCAATCAACTAAACAAGCCCCAAAAAGAGGAAGGAAGCACCTTATAAAGCTCTTTGGAAATAATTCCCAATCCATAAGCATGTGGAGCTTGGGAGCTGGTGTCAACTTTTTCACCCGTTACAGGATTACCAACTAGATAACCCTTGAAAATATCAAAAAAGTTTGAAACTTCAACAAATTTATTCCAACTAGGCTTATAAGCATTTGTATAAAAAACATATGTAATGATAGTTTTCGAGATACAATACAATTGCATAAAGTAAATACCTTGATATTGATTAGAGGCTTCTGACCACCTTCATTTCCTGTGTTCAACAAAAAGAATAACTGACGCCTTAGCATAAATAAATTATATCATGTTTTTGTTCGTATAGAACTTTTCGGCAAAAAAAGTCACCTTCAACAATTTCATGAGCAGTTAGCACAGTTACTTTCCCACCATATGAATCACCACCCATGTAGAAAGGATTTGAGAGGAAACTCGGATGATCAAGGAGCCACTACATTATTTCAATAATATATATAATGTCGTGAGAGTTATAAATACAACACACTTCTAAAGCAAAGTTTTGAATGTTAAATTGTAGAGCCTCGTCAATGCCGCCCTATGATAAAACAACTTGCATAGAGACAATGAGTTGATCAATCTTGTGAAATATATAAATTTCAAAAGAATTTATGAGTATTTTTATTAAGAAATTGACATTAATTGTTTATTGTGTGAAGCATATGACATCAATAAGCATTGGAAAGTTTCAAATGTATTTATGAGTATTTTTATTAGGAAACTGACATTAATTGTTTATCAGGAAAAGTATATGAACAAGTGCTAGAGGGATATATGAATCATGAGTCAAACTCTATTTATCAGTGTTGAGAATAGTTGCACAACCTTACATAGATTATTGAGAGCAAACAAATTAAATTAAAATAAAACATACAAAACCCATATTTTTTATGTAGATTCACTCAAATAATAACTACATGTTTTTTTGTAACTGTAGTTCCACTGTCATTATGATGATGAAATTTAACGAGATATGCTTCAGTATCTCATGCCTTCTGTGGGCTCCAAAATTTTAAAATGGTTCAACCTTCCACGAAGATGAGAATGAAGGACTGAAGAATGAGGGAAGTTTAGATCAGATTTTCAGAAGACATACGAGATGGTAGATAAGACACTACCCAGAGATTTCACCCTCATTCTGCAAGGATCTTGAGATATGGGATTCCAGATTTCTCATAGACACGGCCCCCTATGGTTAGTTCCCCCTCCCAATAGTGAAAGAGTACTTTCAATTAAGGCTAGTCATAAGGGAGTTGATTAATCAACATATAGTAGAAGCAAAAATAAAGTTTAAAGTTTATAAAATCATCATCACTGTGAGCTTCAGAGTGAATTGTGTGAGAAATAATTATGCAACTAATTATGATGCCATGGTTCTGTCATCACGAGGTGGGACCCTAGCCTACTTAGTCAGATGAGGTAGCCTACCAAACTTGACAAAAGAGTACTTGTCAACAATCATGGGTTGCTTCGTCCAAGGAAACCTTATTTATCTAGGGTGAATATTTATTTAAGGGACTAATCTAAGTCGATCTTATCTAATAATGAGCTTTGTACCCTGTCAAATATATCATATGATTCATAAGATAAAATATAGTTGGCAACATACAAACTACAATCATGACAGTAATATAATTGTGTTTTTTGATGGCAAAGCGCCGGGTCAGAAAATTTTGATCGTAACCGCTTCTTATGGTATCATTTGGCGTCAAGATGATGTAGACAGTGGAGTAAGGTAACGTCCTTATAGGAATAGAGTTATTCTGAGTTTGAAATACTTGACAAGACATTAATTTTATGATGAGCTTAACATTAGATTTTGTCTGCCCTGATAAATGATGGTGGATGGTTTGTTGCTCTTTAGCTTTTTAGTGACAAAATTTTCATTTAAAAATCTTTGAATTTTTATGAATTTAATATTCAATATTTTTGAATTTTGATTGGGGGATTGGAATGAGATGCTTATTTTTTGCCTATTTTTAATTGAATTATTCATTTAAGCATTAAAAGTTGGTTAGTTCTGACAATTACAATCCATATTAGGAGGAGGATCAGATTGGCTTTGTGGGAGCCCAGTCTTGTCCACTCCGGTTCACTTAGGGAAAAGGATCAAACCAAGATGTGAGACTTACAACTTTACCTTTTAAGAAAGGTAGCCCATTTTAGGTTATGCTATTCAGTATTTCAATTTGACTTTTGAAAAGGATGAATTTTTATTAATATTTTGAAAGAAATATTTCTCGAGATAAATTTGATTTTATATTTAAAATGTAATTAACTCATGCGGAATTCTCAAAGCATTAGACAAGTGGCATAGCACATGCAGGTATTTGACTATGTGTGTATCTTAAAATTTATATTTTATTATTTGCAGGATTGTATTATCAGTGAAATATATGCAAATATTTCATTTTGAGCCCTAAAATTTGCCTTATGTTTGCTTTTGAATTTGTTTTGTGGATTCGATGTCGATATGCGAAAAGCTTCATTTTGAACCACTCACATGTCGCCTTTTGCTTGCTTGTAGAAGTGTTGCAGATCTAGTGGCAATTGAAATATTCTAGAATTTGATTGTATGATTTTGAATATGTTTCTCTCACACACTCAATTTTTACTAAAAATGCCGAAGCGAACCCTCATATTCGTAGTGCATGACTCTAAATTCTTTAACTAAACAACAGTCTCATCTATATTTATAGAACTAGTATTTTTATCTCAGGTTCCATTTGAGCTGGTTAACGGATCATTGAGTCCCCCATAAATATTGTGCACCATTTACCATTATAATGAACTAACATTACAAGTTTCACAAGAGAAAGTTGAAAAGTCAGTGAATCCACTGAGAATGCAAAATTTCATATTGGGGTCCAAAAATTCATCTTATGTCTATTTTTACAAGAGAGGTGAAGATCGAAACATTCTAGACTTTGATTATGTACTTTAAAATTATGCATCTCTCCCACACTTAGACTTCACTTAAGAGCTCAAATGCACCCCCATAATCATAGTGCTTGATTCTAAATGCTTAGACCAAATAATAAAATGCCTCATTTATATTTATAAAAGATGTTCATCACAAGCTCTATTCGAGTTTGTTGACAAGTAGTCCAATCCCCAGTAAAAATTATGTAGATTCTCTTTAATGCATCATTTACCTTTATAGGTGAACTAGTGAGTTCAAAATAGATTTCATTTGAGTTCGTTGGCGAGTTGTAGAATCTCTTACATATGAGGTCCTAAAATTCGTCTTCTATCTGCTATTATAAAAGTGGTGCAGATCCGGTGGTGAAACATGTGCAAAAATTCACTTTTAACAACTTAAATATCGTCTTATGTCTGCTTGTATGAGTGATGCGGATCTGGTGGCAATTAAGGCAATTCATATTATAATTATATATTTAAATTTATGCATCTCTCCAATACTTAGCTTTCGTTTGAGTGCTCAAGTAGACCTCCCAATACTTCTTATCTCTCATTTGAGTGCTCAAGATTAAAGATTCTTGAGGAAAGACACAAAAAAAAAAGCCAAATTATTTATCTTTACTAAGCATTATTGTACGGACGGTGAAACCAAGACAACTAGAAAAGGATTTATCATGAATATATGCATTTTTGTATTTGAAAATTATTGTTCTAGAATTGTTATATCTTTTAGGCAAATAGTAATATAGAATGTGGTACAGATGAGTGTAAAAAATGATATAATTTCATTTTTTCATTTTTATAAATTTTGTGTTAAGCTCATCTGATGAATGAAACAAAACAATATAATATTATGCACTTTTACTGTTTGAAAATTACTATTATGAAATTGTTCTCATATTTTGGACAAATGATGATATAGAAGGTAAGACAAATCAGTGATCAGTGTATAAAAGGATAGATTATCCATTCTCTTATGTATAAACCATGAGTTCTTCTCCTCTAATGTGACAAACAATATATTATAATATTTTAAATTTTTCTTGTTTTGTAAAAGGACGTTGTTTCATATGGCTTTGAGCGTGATAGAGACATTTTGACCTTGATTTATGTGATGTTATACTTGTTTCGTGTCATCATTGTTATGATCGATTGATTTGACTTATATATCATGTGAAGAGTTTAACACCTTCCTCTTGTCTGATCTCTCGTGTTAAAACGAAATGCCCCCTTTTGATTCAATTAAAAAATTTAAAAAAAAAACTTAACCAATATCATACGCAAAAAATGAAAAACTTATATACGTACCACACAATTTTTATGCAATTACATATCTAGCAATTAACGTTTGATATTTACATTTATAACAATTTGGTGTATAAAATCTATGAATAAAAAGATGTATTTCACTTTTAAAAACCAATAATAGTGATATTCTTAATACGATATCAAAGATTTGAGTGGCATGTATCTAAATATGAATGTTTCGGTGTTAATTTGTAAATATATCAAAATAATGTGTTAAAATGTTAAGAATTTTTGCTTTAGATATCTTCTATTTTTATTGTATTGTACTTATTAGTAGTTGCTACAATTATCTATTGTCGTTAATTTCTATTTTATTTTTCTTGCATGAGGATTTTGTGACTTTCTTGATGCGGTGGCAATCCCCTGTTATTTATCTTGCAACTAAGTCTTACGAAATTGAAGAGAAAAAATTATTATTTCTACAATACGATATATAAATGTCCCATAAATAGGGGCTTTCTACTCCAATTCAATCCTTATAATGACCTAACTACACAAGTCAATCCACATATTATCTTTCCACAATAAGTTTCTTTGTAAGGTTAAAAATCAACTTCACAACTTAACAAAGAACTAAATATATTTACTTCAAAGAGAAACCATTTTATCA